AATCATGAAGACACAATAATACTTAATAAAACAATTGCTATAAATGGAGAAAAAAAAACACTTAAAAGAGCTGCTGGAGTTTGTTGGCATTAAATTTGATAAAACTTCACAATAGACGCCATGGAAAGTTCACATCGCCTCTCGACTAATCTTCCGGATGTGGGCACTGATCCTAGAAACTTTTATTCAAAATCCAAAAAAGCCCAGAAAATTTTGCAGTTACAAGATGCACGATGAAATGAATTCAGTGACACTAAACTGCCTTGCTTTCACTTCCTCTCTTCTACCTCGCCCCTTATCCGACTGCATTAAAGCACCGACCACAAACGAGAATAACCATCAATTTGTTTATAATTTCGCAAAAAGTCATCAAAAAATTTGGTAATTCCTAGGACGAATGGAAGTTTTTTTTGCAATCGATGGGGAGAAACAAAAGATGAAGAACAACAAAAAACAAAAAAAGTTCGAAAAATGATTGTAGGAGCTGCATTAACGATGATAAATCAAACCAAGTAGAAGTAGCAGAAAAAGTAGGGGCACATTGCAAAAGACCTGAACATACATTAATTATTGCTGGGCTTTTTACAACGCTTCACAGAAAAGAACAAACGTTCAAACAAACAGAGAAGTTGACAGTATTTTATTACGCTTGAAGAGATAGGAAATTTTAGATGAAAAACTTATTTCCTGTTCCAAGTTAAATTTTATATTCCCAAATCTGAATTCGAGAATATGTAAAAAAATACAGCTGTTAATTCTGGGACTAATTAAAAAAGTGTTAAAAAGCGTGTAAGAAAAGCTCAGAGAAGAAGAAAGTGCCTTTAAGCAGTGAGTATCCAAAACAAATATAAAATTTCAAAAAGAGAGAAAAAAATTGAAAGGGCGAAGAACTGCATAAATTATTGTAAATAAGTCAACAGACAGGCGTTCGAAGAAAAAATGTTTGAAAATTCTATTCGCTTAACTACAATCTCATCTACCTCTGCAGGTTAGGCACGTGCAGGACGTTTACTGTACATATCACAAGAAGTGAAAGCAATCTTAGTACTTCCAGCATTTTGAAAAATGCTAAACCTAAGTTCATTTCAGGATTACCCACATCGCCAAATTCATTATTTATTTTAAAATGAAGTATCAGAGATGATCGATTTTGAATATTTGTAAGTTCCGAATTGTTCCAGTCGAAAAATACAGCTTATTCATTTTTAATAGTAGCCCGAAAGCTTGGCTTGTTGGAGTTTGAATTTCAGAAGCTGGTAATGACTCAGGTGAATATGTTTTAAAAAGTTTTAGTTGTAAATTATATGTAGGCCCTTTTTATTGATATTTGCAAAAATTCATCAACTGAGTACGAAATACAATTTCTTCTATGCCATATTAATTGGATGTTAAAAGTGATAAAATAATTATAATATCGTTCATTAGCAATAATACAGTGTATAGTAAAAGAAATCGCTCAAACACTTTTCTGGCGTTATTTGGACGTGGCAAGCTCAGAGTCAAACAATTAAAAACGTTTGCAGCAGCAGCAGCACCGAAGACGAAGAGCAAAACGATGCCGACTGCGAAAAATATCACAAAATAACCGTCAAATGAGTAAAAATCTGTTAGGTGCCCTGTACAATGATTGTTACATAGAATTTTAGACTGCTTGAAACAACAGCAGTGACGTTTTTGTTGTGCGAGTGAAGACTTACAGCAATAGCAAAATTGCATCGAGAAAACCAAATGTGCGGCAACCATACAGCAACATAGAGTGTTCCTAAAATTACTGAACATTAATTTTTTCATCTCTGGGAATCATCAGTGAATCCAGGAAACCAACCGGCCAGTT